ACTGTGGCATCGGTTTAGTATTTCAAGCGCGGAAGTTGATATACCACATGAGTGAAGCAACCAAAACAGGCATTTACAGAAGCGAACTTTTTGAATGACACTATTCTGAGTTGTTTTCCGCAGGAGGGGAAAAGGATCTTTACTCAAACAATCATAAATCATAACACATTCCCTGCTCTGGCATGAGCAGATTCCTATATGCGCTGATTGTTGAGCTTTGTGTTTGAGCAAAAACGAAAATCTGCATGTCATGCATGATGTTTCACGGGTTCGCACAGATTCGCGGGTTTAAACGTTACAGCAGTCTGCGAATCTGTGATTTCGCAGATTCGCGGATAAAATACATAGACATTCTGATCTGCATGGCATCGTCCCGATCTGCCAACCTGACTCTTCGCAATCAAAGCAGATTACAGAGACCCTCTGGTCTGATCTTCCAATCTGCAAATCTGCGTATTTTTTGCGAAGAATCGCAGATTCGTAGATTCACAGATTCTACAGACCCTATGATCTGGCACCTGTCTGATCTGCGAACTGCGAATCTGCGAAGCTTCAAATGTGCACTTCTGTAAATCTGAGGCGCGGGGTTTCCGGGGAAGCACCATATATATATATATACATATACATATACATATACATATACATATACATATACATATACATATGTATATATATATAACATGTATACATATGCACATATGTATATACATATATATATATGTATGTATATATGTATATGTATATATACATATCTGTTTATTTACTTATTTATATGTGATCGCCTTACAGTGGAAAATGTGTTTTCCAGCTCGAACAAACTGGATGCTCTGCGGGTTTATAGGGCTTACGGTATGTACGAAGCTTCCGGGCTCCTCTTTGCAGAAAACTGGGAGAAAGTGCCAAGATTTAACCTGGGGCGGTCATTCGCTGCGGTAGCTGCTGCTCCACCTGGAAAAACCTGATGATTCGAGCTGTGCCCAACCCCAACTGCCAATATAAACCAAGAACATGAAAACTCTCAATGTGTCCCGTATGCCTGGGTAAAGGGCTTGCCGTGAAGGTTCGTAGATGTCATGAGCAGGTGCCTCGGTAACACAGTTGGCTGCCCTTACCGACAAGTGGGGGTTTCCGAAAATAGCGGACCCTGATATGGTACCCTGGATCCTTATTATAAGGACCCCAAAACAAGGTACCCCTTATTTTCGGAAACTCCCAAGTGGACTGGTAGGTTTGGGTGCCAGCTCTGACGGGTTTGGATTCGGATTTAGGCTTTGGGGTTTAGCTCAACAAGCAATCTTGCAAACCCTGATCCGAAGCGCTTGTGGGGAGGCATCGGTTTGGCTCTTGGATAATGTCACCGAAAGGAAAGACTGCTGCACTGGCATTCCAACAATTGTGTTGATTTTGCAGGTGTGCAGCGGCGTTGAGTGGTTGCGTTTACTAGCCGATGACAGGACAAACGGAGAGGGCGATGGGTATGCGTGAGCGTTTTGTACAAACGACAAGTCTGATACTTGGAAACGTCAGTGCTGCACACCTTGCTGCTCAACGGTACTGTAACTGCACTGCTGTGCCCTTATGCCAGTTGTGAGTCGAGTAGACCAGACCAACTTCCAAGGTTCCGAACTGGCTAAGCATGTGCAATCCTTGCCCGTATGTATCTCACAGTAGCACGCTATCGAGCAGGGCGTGATCCGAAAGTCGGTTGTCGCAGCATATCGTCACATGTGTCGGGCACTATGAAGCAGAAAGCCATTGCAGCCTTTGGCCAAGCTGCTTCAAACAGTCTGAGACGCTGTGAACCCGGAGGTTGCTGTCAAGCCTTGGTCACGTCACGACAGGAACTTATAATATAATGTCGCGCCGTAAAATAGATTATAGTACAAATAAATAATTACATAAATAAACAAATAAATATGTATGTGTGTATGTGTATGTATGTATATATATATATAATCACAAGCATAAGGCATATTCCGCAGACGACTTCGACGCCTGGAGATTGGAAGCGACGGCTGCACTGCTGGTGCGACCACATCGTCAGCGCATCACCAATAGCGACCGCCATCATCGTCGCCACGCGCCACCACCACGAAATCTTTCATCAGCAACATCAACTCTCATGCATGTATCGGTCATGAAACATATCATCAGCATCTTCACCAACCCACCATCATCGTCACTTCCATTACCGCTCCCATCTGAAGAAGATGATGTTGCTGGCCGCAGTGAAAACACGATCGTCATGAGGGGCGGCGATGGCTATGAGCATTACCATAAGTGCAGTCGGCGTCGCAATCCTCCGGGCCGTCACCATCAACAGTATCGACACCATGACAACCCTGAAAACTAGTTATCAAGAATTGACGATGTCAATGTCGTGGTTATGGGTGTCGCATCGAGAATCCAACAACATGTCAACAAAAGCATTTTCTGCGACACATGACATTTCATGTTTTAACGCCAAGGCGCAGCACCTCTCCATCACAAACCCCACGCAGCATTCTGCGGAAGCTTGACATCAAAGACTCGGCGTCGGAGTGGAGGAATTGGGCACAAAGGGTGGCACGAACACCTGTCTCCAGCATCCAGGACAAAACGATGGTCAGGCCCAGAGACACGAGCTGCAGAAAGATGCAAAAACCTCGGCTTCGGAGAAACAGCTCTTGCCTTGAGCAGCAGAGTGGCCTTAACCAAGTTTTTCGAACGGTCCTTGCGCGCGCACGGTTTTGTGTAACGAGGTCCACATCCAAGCTTGACAGATTTAGATTCTCTCTCGCACTCAGCAAAAACCCTGAAGTGTTGCAGTTCTCGCAAGTCAGCCGCCCGGATGTGATCAGGAACCCACGAGAAGAGGTCCAGCTTATCCTGTGAGTCTGGATGCAGCTCAGGAGTGCAAGCCGAAATGAGTACATATCTCAGTCAAACGAAGCCTCGAACTACTTCAAATCATTCATGCTCCTCAAACCTTTCTGCCGGAAGCCAGCTAAAGGCGCCAGCGATTAGCATGTGTGTGCGCACTGTGCTGACATAGACTGAAAAAACGATGCAGTTATAATCAGGTATAGTATGCATACCTACCGCTTACATACATACGTGCCTACATACATGCATGCATACTGGCAGTGTGCGCATGGGCAAGTTTTCAAAATTAGGGTCCCCATTGATTTTTTTGGTTTACAAAACATCTCGGCACCAGATATAACAAAGACCCTTTAAGAGACCCCAATTTGGAGACTGCGCACATATAAACTACAAACAACTACAACCATAGCCAAACACACACACACACACAAAAACAAACAGCCAGCATAATCTGAAAGCCAATTTGGACAGGAAACCCGGATGGTTCAGGCCGCTGGGGGCCAGGAAGCCAGCCCACAGCCTAAGCTGACTCGCTTTGTAAAGAGCTCTTCAGGATGGTTTGAAGGCTTTATAAACTCTAGGGTTTGATACGGTCTGGTTGAAAGAAGCTTTATTACGCCAGCTGTTGAGGTGGTGAACGGCTTCACGGCTCTATGTTCGACCAACTACTCGGGCCATGCTTACGTCAAGGAGCAGGAAAAACTGCGAAAGGCATCAATATTCGAGGAAGTACACGGCCACAATTTGGTCAACTGAACCCGACAGTTGCAAGCAAGCAGCTGACCAGCAGTCAGCAGCACCTGCCAAGGTGCGGACCTTCAGTTCGGAGCTCAGTCGCGAGATGAGGCTCTCTACCCATAGGCCCCTAAGCAGTTCCTTTTTATGGTTCATATTTAGAAGCCTATAAGGTAATCCCAAAAAGGAACTACTTAGGGGCCTATGGGTCTAGTCGGAATTTCCAACAGATGTGCAGCGCACGTCGGCTCTAAGGATCTGTGTCGGGTGATGTCGGGTGTATAATGGCGGCTTTGCGCTTCCGGGCCCGTCCCTGTAAGGCAACCGCATGAGCTGGGAATGAGGCTGCGCGACATCTCTTCAGAAACTCTACTTCGAACCCCTCTCCCCATCGGGCAGACAAAAAGAAGAGCGTTTCCAATGCAAACCTCGAGGCAGTTTGGTGTCAGTGGCGACTGCTGACAGGATAAACCGGCAGGATGTTAGCTGGACTAGCATCACGTTAATATCGAGATGCAGACCCTGCGCAAAGGGTACCGCCAAAAAGCACACCATCATGCCACAGTAGAAGAAGGAGCAACACGCTCGAACTCGCTCTGCCGTCAGATCCACGGCTCGCGTCGCGGTGCCCAGGAAGAGCATGTACATGCAGGAGACCGCGACAAAGACGATGCCTTCCGGCAGCGTTGGATGGCTGTGGACGTAGAAGGTGTGAATCCAGTATGACATACCACCAGCTGTGAAAAAGGAGGCGCATCTCGAAAACATGAGCCAGTTGGCTTTTCGAGTCTCCGCGAGGGCTGTCGCCAGTCTGCCATCGCAGGCATCCGGTTGCTTCGCAGCGAATTGATCTGCCAACCACAAAGCAAACGATCGAACATCCCGTGCTGTCAGAAGCGCATGCAATATCAAGAACATCAGAGAACAAAGAAGCCCTTGAATCGCAGCATTGGCAGGTAGGCCCCACGGAAACTCCATGGCTGCACGACTCGGCCTCTACGAATTTCACACCCTTGCGTCAAAGGCCGATCTGTGTAGCCGAAATCTGGCGCGCGCGCGGGATGGACATGAAACCCCAATTTCTTGGACCACAAACCCTCAATGAACACGCCTTTTTTCGGCTTAGACGAAGGCTTCATGCCGCTTAGCTGCTTATCGTATCGTACTCTGCTCCATGCAGTTTCTATAGGAGATTTCATGCAAAGCTAAGAGCTTCCGAAGCTGCCGAACTCAGGGGCTTTGGGGATCTGGGCTTAGGGTTTTGGGTTAGCAGATGAAAGGTAGAAGAAGCGAACTCACACGAACCCCGAGCCTTGAACCCAAGATAACGATAAACAAAAAAACAGACTGATAAAGCCTTAAAGTCCAAACCCCTATAAGCCCCAAACCCAAACCCTGACCTTTGGCGTTTGCTCCCGGAGCGCCGGTGCGGCCTCTGTTACTACCTTGGACAGCTCAATATTCTGAAGGGTTTCGGCGGTTTCAGGGTTTCTGTATGGGGTTTAGGGCTTCGGATTTTAGCGCCGAGCTTATGGTTCTTTTTCTTGTGTGGGTTCATGGCTTGATCCTTTAGTGGGCCAACGATGAAAAGCAGGACAGACTCCCTCGAAGTTTCGACGATAGAACAAAACCCGCACCCTACCTTCGGCTGACTAACGTTTGACACGATGCTGCCACGCATCGCTCGGGGTCATGCCTTGAAGCATGCAAATTGCCACATCGAAGGCGCCCCGAATCAGGTCAACCAAAGATGAAACCGTCCTAAACCCTAAAACCTAATCCCTAAACCCATCCTCTTTGAAGCATGCTGCCGGCGCTGCTTCGCGTGGTTGGACGATGCCTGTCACGTGATGAGCCCAGGGTGTGAGATTTCTTGTTGTCAGGATGTCGACTCCTTGCCAGAAGATTTCAATTCCGGGCGAAGTAATTACAAAGAGCAAGCGCTTAATTCGGGGATGCTGTATTCTGTAGATCTCCATTCGGGTCATAACAGAGCCGTCTTCCCCATGTTTATATGCAGCAAACGTAACGCTGCCCCGGCGGTTCCCTGTAGCACAAGATGGCAGCTGCCTGGAGGTAGTGGCGCCTCAGCTCCACAAAATCAGGATTCATGGGATGACGAGTCTACCTAGCAACCATCGTTTCAGGAGCCCCTTAAGAAGAACCCTGCGGTCAGATTGAAGTAGAACTTTTGACTAGATGAAGCATCTAGACAAACTGCAAATATCTTCGAGACTCTCTCCTCCCTGTATACTTTATGCCGTCAAGAGTAAGGATGAGTGCATTTCGTGGCTGGACCTGAGAAGGCTGTATGATATCCCTCAATACAAACCATGCCCCATCAGACATGACAGGCAGCCGCAGCCGTGGCAGCCGCAGCGGTAGGTGCCGGTGGGCGGGCCGCCACAAGGACGGGTGCCGGAGCAGCGGCTTTTACCTAAACTTAAACCCTTTGGCTTGCTGATTAGAGTTTTTGGCTTGGTGGCTGGAAAGGCTTCGATGTTCTGTCAACGATTACACCGGCTTTCACCATGGGCGACAGTGGAGCGATTTCATTTGTGGCCTTTAACATACCCTCCGCCTTGCAGAACAAACCTTTCCGCAACATTATACTGCCTAGGACATGCGGAAAACCTAAAATATCCAGATTACAATAATTCTTTCTATGGAAGCAACAGATTGACGCTGTTCGGATCTTGTTAGCGTCAGTGTATTGGAAAATTGTACTTGGTAGATCACTCTAGTTTCTTGCTGTGCAACCCTTGCAAGGTTCTCAGCACGTAGAATGGGAAAGTTACGTTTTAACATGCATCGTGGAACAACATACAATCTGTATGTATGTATGTATGTATGTATGTATGTATGTATGTATGTATGTATGTGTGCATGTGTGTATGCATGTATGTATGCATGTACGCATGTATATCACAGTTTCCAGATCTGTGCAGAGTAGGTCTATGCTGTAGCAGATGGCAGAATCTAGCATGACACCGTATAGAATAAAATGCAACAAAACATGGCTGATCCTACAATCACATACACAGCGCAAGTTGGCATATTACAGCACTTGGCCTCCCCAGCCTAATTAAATCTAAACCTTACCTAAACCCTGAGCACATAAATATAAATATACATATGATAAATTATTATGATTACATAGGCGGCCCAGAACTTCGACCTATTTCCACCTCCAAAGAAGCCAAGCAGCGGTTGACACAGCGAGAGCTTCCTGCGAAGCCTGGTGTCAGCTCACAGAGCGTGGTATATAAGGTTCTCTCGACCTCTCTCTCTGTGTTTCGGCGCTCACACCCGGAGGGGTTCAGAGTTTAGGGTGTTATATACGGTTAAGGCTTCGTGCTTTTAGGGTCCCCGTTCATTATTCTGCACATTGCCGGTGCAAAACGTGTCTTTGTTCGTAACTTGCTTCTGGGCTTCATGCTTGGCAGATTGAATGGGTTCAGGTGCGGTTCAGAACTTTAGCCCTCAAGTCTGCACAAACGGAACAGGATAAGAGTGCCCGGACCTGAAATCCTACACCCCTGGCTCCCATTTCCGGTCCTTGGCTTCGGGGATCGGCATCCCAGCTCTCGCTGCAAGGATGTTCAGCGACTCGTCCTCCATGGATCTTGAGTTGAAGCTCGCAGGACAAACTTTCTAGCAGCGCTCCAAGTACCACATGTGCACATCACTGGTGATGGCGGCGTTGATGCTGTGAATGCAGATGGAATGATAAAAGTGCCGATGATTACAGTGGTTGTGGACATCGTGCACAATGAGGAAGGTGGCATGACATCGAGAATGGCAGTGGCGACGGTGCCAGAAAGCTGATGCTGGCGACGGCAATGGCAACGCATTGCTGTTGTGGGAGATAATGATGATGATGATGATGGTGGTGGTGATGATGATGATGACGACGGCCGTGTTCGCGGCCCCGTTTTTGGGGAGGATGCCGAGCAGGTTGTGCATTCGGTAAAGATATGGAAAGATTCTGAAAGATGATGGATGGTGATGGAGACAATCTTGATGTTCTTGAAGATGTCGACGTTCCTTATGTCTATGACGAACCTTTCGGGGTCTGGTGCTGGTGTGGACAGGTCTCGGATTGGCATGTGGCTGTTATGATTTCCATTCCGGTGAACAGTCCCAAACGTGATACGGGTCATTTCCAGTTCCATGGCTCTGAAGATTGTCATCCTCGAGGCTTAGCAAGACACGCGGTCCGTCCACGAAAGATTGGCAAAACTCAATTTCTCAGGGGCTGCATTGGAGACTGGTTCAACATGGCGAGTTTCCCTCAGTTGGGCGAGAGACGTTTACAATAAACCTAAACCCTACTGTATTCTGTACAATAACGACCTCGCCAAGCGTCCTCCTCAGACAACCACTTTCGAAGCCTCGGTGCTGTTTGTCACCAATCTTGCGGTCCAGTCAGTCGAGAAAGACTTTTGTGAACCCAGCGTCCCAAGGAGTGAGAAGGTCTCATCCTTCGGAGGACTCATGTGCCTTCCGTCTTTAACCTGCATTACAAACATCAGCTTATCATGTATACAAAAAGACTATATGTTATATGTTATTTGTCATATATTTAACACTATATGATTGATTTAACACCATCCTAGTCCTAGTAAGGCGAAGTCGCCCCTGCTGCTCTAGACTTGCTGGCCGATGCGTGCGAGCACCAAAGAAAGGGACGTCACACCCGCAGCACTCATATGTGTGGCCATCCCCAAAACCATAGGTCTCAAATCTTGCTCTATGGTCAAACTATGTCAAACTTTCAAACTCACTTGAGGTGTATAACACTAAAACTCACTAAAACTGGTTCTGCTCCACCTGCCAAGCCTGCACCCTGAGCTGCTAAGTCGCATGTCCAAGACGGGCTTGTCGATCTGCGTGCCCTGCTCAACCTGGGCTACTTCTAAGGAAAATTAAGGAAAGCATGTTTATAGGCAAGACAGCCAGAATGCAATACGAGATTACGGGAGCTGATTCCATTGCGAACTTCTTCCACCTTGGTGAGACCTACAGCTGGTAAACTACATTTATAGGCAAGACAACCGGAATGCAATACGCACATGTTACTTGAACCAAATGACGGTCATGAGGTGTAAGCAAGCTACATTTTGCACAAGATACCGAAAGCAAAACTGCGTTGACAGTTTAGGGCTTCGAATCTCACTCTCGGACACGCCAGGAAAGCGATCACACAAACAGGTCGCATAATCTTGTCGAACAAGCTCAGATCGCTTGCTCAGGGTTTAAAGGTTCGAGAGGTCCGGTGCCGAGCCAAGTAACAGAAACCACAAACCCTACGCCCTGCACTCGTTCTTCCCACATACCAGCTGCAAACTCCATGAGACGCCCCTTACACCTCTGTTTTGAAGCCGTGGGATGCGGGACCGCAACACAAACCCAACACCTTAACCACTCTACAGGTGAGATGCGGCCATGCGAAGGGCTGCGCGCACCAGACCCTTGTCCTGGCGAGCTCGCAAGATTTACTGGATGCAGGATGTAGAATCTTTCACAGTAGATTTCCAGGCTCATCACTAGCATGCAGAGGCCGCCGTGTACTCTCCGCTCATAAACCGAAAATGGTTCCAGAGGAGAGGGGGCAGGTGACATCCGGATACTCCCAACATCTCCCAACAGGAGAAAACTGCGCCTGGAATTTTTTCAAAGAGCCGTACGAGCTTCAGACTCCGTGGCCAACAGTCACAGCCATCGTCTTCAATCCCGAGTCCGCAATGCTATATAGGATGACGAAGTTCGACTTACTTGAATTATATATATATATATGCATATATATATGACAGCATATATAAATCAATGCTGCGTGCACGGCCAACAGTAGGCCTCGCCAGAGGCCTGGGGCTTGAGGGTTTCGGCACTCGATCGCACAAGCTATGCTGGGCGGTTCGCAGAGCAGTTCTATCGCGCTTTTGGTTTCCTCATTCGCAAGGGTAAGAGGTGGAGGAGCGCTCTCTCTCTCTCTCTCTCTCTCTCTCTCTCTCTGCCGAGCCATACGGGCCTTGCCCAGCAAGGGCACGAAAGGAGAGGCAAAGCACGTGTACTGTATTTTGGTGTTACCTAAAGCTCGATCCCTGCCAGGGTCTCCTGCTTGGCGACGCCCTCGCGGATGACGACCAAGGGTGGCTGTGCAGGCACCGCAACTGCAGCCTTCGCCTTCGAAAAAGGTACGAGTACAGGGACAGCCAAGGCTCTTAATGGCGCCCCCGTCCTTGGGGGTTCAGCAGCAAGAGCTGGAGCAACAGCAAGACAGGAGCAAGAGCCAGAACGAGAGCATCGTTGCAGCATGAGGGGGAGCAAAAGCCAGCAGGAGCAAGAGCCAGAGCAGGAGTAAGAGCAAGACCAGGGAGAGCAAAATCCCAGAAATGTGACAGTAGAAACTAAAAACCCCAATGGTAAGTGCGCTTTCCGAGTTTCCATAAGGAGGGGGTCTAATATAAGGGGGAAGGGATTAGTTTGGACACTCGCGACTCAGGGCATGCGAGGCTGCACATTTTGCGGAATCTCCCCTAATCCCCTGGTTCATGGACTATGATTACGTCAGCTAATACAGAAGCCTAAATAATTACAAATTTGATTCCTTAGGGTTCCTCATCATAAACCTATCATAGTATACCCCACAACCCTATTCTAACTATTATCAAGGCCCCTCTATAACCCACAGACCTACAGAGCACGGCCTTTGAGATATTCCTTGGAACCAAACCTTGGATGCCTACAGGGCCTAGCGTCCGCACCTTGACCACCGGCTCCGGTGCCGACACCGGAGCCCCAGCCTCGGGGATGCCAATTTGAAACAATGGTGATCTCTGAGGTTCTTAGGTGAAGGGATTATAAGGTTCTATACCGGCTCTGCAACGAGTGCACAGCAGGTGCACCCGGCTTTTCCGGTCTCGTGCCTGCCGGGTCCACCGAACTCATCGCAAAATCAATGCAAAGCTCTTGTGCTTCTGAACTTTATGAAAAAGACTTTCGCTACAATGCTTGCAGATTTTGGGCCTGTGCTCATTCTGGCCTTTGTCGCACAGCTTAAAGACTGAAGAACTGGAGACCAAACTCATGCACGACAATCACACGACTCTTCTCGGACAGCGTGTGAACGAGGCTGGAACCCAGCCGCTTGCGTCCCAATCTTGAGGTTTCTACAGCTAGGAGCACAACATACCGCGCCTACCGCAGTGTTCTTCAACGTTTCACTACATCTTAAATTCTCGAGAAATGTTCAGAGCTGGCAGCACATCGCACAAGATGCTTGAACTGCAGTAACAGGATAACATGCAATGGAGACAAGCCGTCAAGATTCGGGACAGCACCCTGCAAGCCGAAACCAAAGCTTGATTGAAACGCCTCCGTAACGAGCCGAAATCTCGCCTTTCTCAGCCGCCTCCCCATCCATGATAATTACGCCAAAGCCTTACATCCAACAGCCTGAAACATAAAACCCTTCAGCTGTGAATCGTACAGCTCGATAGACTCGGTAGGTTCTAAATATCTGAATTTGGCCTTCGCCGGGACGACAGTCGGCGTGGGTGGAGACTTGGCCATCACTGAAGAGAAGGTGTCCTTCAGCTTCTCCAGGTTTCCGTGGCTACACGACTTACGAAGGCCCGGAGTTTGAAGGCAGCTCCAGCAATATTTCATGCTGGCCAGTATTCTCACTTGAACTACCAATGAATGAACCTAAGGCAAGTAATGGCTTATGAAATGGGCTATGACTATACATTACAGTCACTACAGATGACGACAGTGTACCCGCGGCTGAAGACGGTTAGATTTGGAGATAACCTGAACACCGGAAACTCTCCCTGCGGTGTTTTGCTTCTGCCGGCTCCGCCTTTCGAGCTTCAGGCCTATTGGGATCAAGGTACAAGGCCCGATACAGCTTGATCCATGAACGAATTTCGCTAGGGCCCACCTCGCCCAGCCATTGCCGAAGCATGTCCAGGATAGGAGCCTGAGCGGTGGCTATGTGAGCTACGTCGAAAAAACTCCAACAGACAGACGCAACACAACAATCAAATGGTCTCCAAAATTTCATAAACCCAGAACAAAGACGACAACAAGGCCATGGGGCTTCGATGGGCGTGCCCATCTGCGTGGCATACTGAAGCGCTGTCTTCACCGCTGCCTGCGTGTCGCCGTTATCTGACCCTTTGCTTGAGGTGCCTGTGTCAATCATGGATCTAGAGGGGGTTGCACTGCTGCTGTTGCGCAGTCTTTCTGCCGACTGGAGCAAGCCAAAACTGCGACAGCAGCTGGCGAAACCACAAGCCCCGTACGCACCACACGACAGCCATCCCATTCCCAAAAAGCCCACCCGTAAACCCCGAAAATGCCCTCTCTGCCTTGTCCTGGTTCGCCACGCCCTGGCGTATCAGAAGCAGCACATCCTGCTCAGCCAACTGCCAAGGGCGAGAAACACATATTTACTGCATCGGGGTCTACGCATACATACATGCATACATACATACATACATACGGACGGAAGCATACAGACATACACACACGCAAAAAAAGGCATGTGCACACACATACATATACATCTACATATAAAGCTCTATATATATATATATCAGTTCTATCAGCATGTTTAAGTGCTCCCAGTGTGCTTTGGTGCAACCCTACCAGAAGTGGGGGGCACTCAAAAAATACTATACCCATACATATATATATATGTGTGTGTGTGTGTCGTGTATGTATGTCTGTAAGCTTCCGTATGTATGTATGCATGTATGTATGTACGCAGACTTGTTTATATGATTTTATATGTGTATGCATGCATCCATGCATGCATGCCTTTACGAATGTGCCTGCTTGTATGCATGTGTTCATGCATGCATGGTTTTGTGATGTCTTGTGTATGTTTTGCGTGTGTTTGCAAATGAGTGTCCATGTACACATGTATGAATTACTGCATGCATGTCATGTATGTGTGTATGTACAATGTCGCTTTGGCTTAAACTAGTGGGCGTCTATATACTGCGGTTGTCTCGGACGCTCATTCAGGACAAACCATTGTTCGGCCGTCCGGTTATACACACATACCATATAAATACATGCATGAAATCCTGGATACATGCACACATACATGACTCCATGCATGCTGCATACATGCATACAATCAATAGACACATGTAACTGCTTACGTACACACATAAAACACCAGTAAACAAAAATACACAGGCACGCAGACGCACATGCACAGAAACATGCATACAAACAGACATACATATACATACATACATGCGTA